GAGTCCCTTGCTCCTTCTATGCAGTTAAAGTCCGGCACCCGAGCAGAGGGAGACAGTAGAGACCGTTTCGGTGAGGGTTTTGGTAAGTGATAGCCGAACATACTTGATAGCAGCCAAAGCCGATCGAACACTTTCAACAATTTCGGATTTATCGAAGTTGTTTCAGAAGCGGGCTGATTTTGCATAGCTTCGGCAACCATGCTACATCCCCTTGAGATTAGAGAAATTCCAGTACTGTCGTTCATCCGGTAGAATTCAAGGCAGATAAAGATAATACACGATAAAAGAGCAACTTGGGCCGCTTGAGACGTGCGCGGCTCCTGCAGGGAATGCGAGAACGCCAAGATGGATTTGTTGTAGTATCGCAGTGCTTGTCGACAGTGAGCGCAGATGCAGTTTGATGCATGATCCGAGGCGCCATTATGGCCATGTCTGAAAAGATTTCCGATGGCAAAGATCCCGTTACGGACAGTGGGCTCAGTATCAGCGACCTGGAGCATCTGCTTCTGCCATAACTCGGTATCAAAGGCGCCGCCTAGAATCGACGCGACCCTGTGGCTGTAGAATCGGTAGGCTTGCCATTCCGACTGCGTGGCACGAAAGGCTGAGAGCAAGGATGAAGAATTGCTGAGACGGGGAGGAGTGGTTGCTTTCGAAGGAAGCGCTAGATCTTCTTGAACCAGCGAAAGTTGATAGCCCTCACAAGTTCTGCCTGCTTTGACGCACCTCGTGCACGAAGGCCTTTCGAGACCGCACTTTACTCGACGCCGCTTGCAAGTTAGACACCCTGTGCGAGTTTTTGGACCGTGTCTGCCCTGGCCATCAGGAGCCATAGCACCGTCTTGACACTCGTCGTGACACTTCAACACGAGATGCAAATAGATGAGTGTTCGGTGGTCTAAGGGTTGGTTGACGGGAAAAACATGAGTACCTACATAGGAGCATGAAATCTCGCTGAAACCCTAGTTACCTACCTAACCCATTACGCGTTGGATCGCCTTCTGATGTCTGACAGTGGAAAGGACCATAGTGGGTGGCCTGATATCCGGTGTCATCTGCAGCTTGAAACCCTTCTGAGTTGTCCTGACCCCTTGCTCACAACTCAACTGTATGCTCAAGATGGAAGGGAATACTTACTACTCTTACACTCTCTGGGCTAGGTTCGGATTGGAGACATGAATCTCTGATAACATGGCAATGTGTAAGTTCGGACATCTCCGTGTCGAGACGTTGATAAATAGTCCCCCCCGATCCCGTCGGGCAATTGCAACAAGAGCGAGTGCGACGCAGATAGCACGAGACGGCATCCTAGTGTGGGTTGTTGGCATCTTCGAGCCACTATGTCGGTCCTTCAATCCAGCGAGGATCGCTTGAAAGCGAGGAAACCGTTGCCCACTCCTCAGCCAGCATATCTACCGACTGCCGGTTCACCCTTGACAGTCAACCAAGAATTGTACCAGTCTATTCAGCAAGGTCCCAGGGAACTTGTTGAGTCATTTGTCTTGCCTATCCGTTCGGGTCGTGCTTGGAAGGCCCCAGCTAAGAGTATTATCAGAATTAGCACACCCGAGGGGCCTCAGGTTGGTAGGTAAGGGAAGTTGTGCTTGAGCAATCGGGTTCTGACGATTTTGGTAGGCGATTTGAATATTTGGAACGCCAATAACCCCCGTGAGAGGTTCTGGGCCTCTCGAACAAAACAGCTCCACTCATCACACGTTACAACATATGATCGCCTCTGGTCCTGCCTACCATATATGCGTCCATTGTGCACCATCGTCGCCGATTCCCTCTCATGGTACGGAGTGGACGAGACGGGAGGTAGAGTCCACGACCTCCTTGGCACCAGGTGCGACCCTTATATCAACACGCTATTGTCGGGACCGGAGGCGTCGTACGACTATCATTGTCACTCTAACCTCACAAGAGCTGTCTTGCCTTTCGGTCTCAACGAATCAGACGTCCACGATGTCATCAACTTGTTCCAGGTGACGGGCCTGGATTCACAAGGGAGATACTTTATGAATCCGTGCCCTGCTCAACCAGGTGACTATATCGAACTTTTTGCAGAACAGGACCTTCTGATGGCCCTGTCGACGTGCCCAGGAGGAGATCTTTCCCAGTGGGGCTTTGGGAGTGACAATGAGAAAGAAATGATCAAATGCTGCAGGCCACTGAAGGTCGAGGTCTTTAAGCTGGTCGAGGAAGGCAAAATCTTGACGGGGAAGTGGCAACCGGCTGAACGTCCAGATTACCGTGGCGTTCATGGAATGATAGTGCCAGAAGGTGAAAAGAGGGCATAACGCTCAGGATCAGGAAGGGGCCGGTGAACCTTGTTTAACCAGAATAAGTCTCAGCGACCAGCCATTTCCTGCTGACCGGCTGTACCTGTCACTTCACTTGGCTTGTTAAAGACAACGTTCATGGCATCTTCAAGTATTGCAAGCCCTCGGTTGATCTCCTCATGCGAGATAACAAGAGGGGGAACAATTCTGATGACACCGTCTCCGGCGCTAATAACCAGAAGACCTCGCTCTCGTGCAGCAGTAATAAGTTCCGTCACCTTGCCCTTGGCGGAGTCGCTCAGCTGATAGCCGACAATAAGACCTCTGCCCCTGACTTCCGAGAGGATGCCCGGGAACTTTTCCTTCATGGTCTCGAAGGCGCTGAAGAAAAGCGTGGACTTAATTCGAACTTCTTCCTGTAACTGAGGCTTGGCAAGACGGCCAAAGACGTGGTGCGCGACTCGACAGGCAAAAGGATTACCGCCGAAGGTTGTACCATGATCGCCCGTCTTGATGTACGGTGCAACGCTCTTGCCCGATACAAGGGTTGCTCCGATAGGGATGCCATTACCCAAGGCTTTGGCAGATGTCAAAATATCTGGATGCACACCAGAGGCAGTATAGGCCCACAGATCACCAGTCCTGGATAAGCCACATTGAATCTCGTCAAAGATCAAGATGGCGCCAACCTCATCGCAGCGCTTGCGGAGGGCTTGGAGAAACTCGGGAGTCGCGACATTGACGCCGCCCTCACCCTGGATTGGTTCAACAATCACTCCGGCGGTGTTCTCGTTGACCAGCTGTTGGACACCCGCAACGTCGTTGAACTTTCCATAACGGAATCCCGACAGCATCGGGCCAAATGGGGGTTGGTACTTCTTGTTGGGAGTAGCTGAGAGCGATCCATAGGTGCGGCCATGGAAAGAGTCATGGAACGACACGATGTCTCTCTGCTTCGACTCCGGATCTTTTGCATATATGACCTTTCTTGCAAATTTTAACGCAGCCTCGTTAGCCTCCGAGCCAGAGTTCGAGATGAAGACTTGCGTCAGAGGCGAGCCGGGCGACTGCTTCTGTGTCTCTTCAATCAGAGATTTGGACAGCGTCGGGGTCCAGGGATTGTGGTAGAGATTGGATGCATGGATCAATCGCTGTGCCTGATGGGCAATGAGTCGTGTGATTTCAGGATCACTGTGGCCCAAGGAGTTTACCGCTATGCCAGCGGTGAAGTCCAGATATTGTCTGTTTTCATTGTCGTACAACATGCACCCTTCTCCTTGCACCATCATAGGCGGGGGTCGAACGTAGGTAGGGACCATGTAGGGAGTAGATTGGTTCAGAAAGGTCGCCGTGGGCGAGTCGGAGGAAGGATCCGGGTTGGGCACAGAGGCTTCATGCCGAATCTGCGTTTCATCCTGAATGGGGATGCTGGAAGAGGTGGGCACAGCGGCGGCACTGGCATACCGTCGCCAAGTGAGAGATGCTTGGTGTGAGGGAGCGGCAAGCTTTGAAAGCTGAGAACATGCTAGTCTCTTGCTCAATGAGAATGCCATGTTGCACACGATAAATATCAATAACGACACCAGTATCAGGGGCCTCCTCACTGCGCTGGGGCAGTTTTCAAGAAGCCGGTCTATGGAGGAGAGAATCAGAATTTTCTTTTGAGTCACAAAGTCACTGTTTTTTTTTTCTCTCCATTTTCTTTTCGGGAGGCGCGAACGCGGGGAAGTCCGGCTAGTGAGGCAATGAGGCTAGTGAGGCAAGTCCACTATTACAAGGTACCGATTAGTCCTGGGGCTTGTCTTGGGGCGTCTTGGTCCTAAGGCTGGTCAGGCTGGTGGGCCAAATCCCCTGCGCCACCAGTGCCAGCCAGACCTTGCTCGGCCTTTGACGCAGCTGCGACTTCAAGCCTGGCAGCCATCCTTCGCTAAACTCCCTTTCCTTTCGATTCGCCTCAATCTGTCCTTGACCCTCGAGACCTCTTCCCTCATGAGGCAGCTGGCATCGATCCTGCCATGAGTTTAATCTCCATATGAGACCGTGGCATTCCAGATCCACGAGAATCCCGAGGCCGCAAATGCAGGTTATGCAAGGGATCACTCCCATTCCATAATGCAGTTGAGAAGTCGGCTGACGGCCCTTCCAACCATCGCAAATACCGCCTGGATGTGAAGTGACATCCCGAGCTTGTCTCAAGCCACTGCGGTTCTATCGGGCCTCCTTGCAATATCAACTGCCTCGAAGACGACGCTCCAGCCACGACGATACTCAAGTCCCTGATTCAGATGAGCCATCGATTTCTGGAGCCGATGGCGACAATCAGCGGGTTTGGCAAGGCGACATCGTTCGTATTGTGCAATATCGACCAGTATGTGACACAACTCCAAGATTGGACTGAAGGAATCGTGCTCTAGATCTCTATTTTTGCTCAAATCCATCTCCGAACCCCTTGTCCGGTTTTGATTTGTCTGAGACTGTTGACAATCGCATGGACTTAGAGTGGTACGCTTGAGATATGGTAACCCCTTTTTCCTGTGCTCTGCTTGTTTCGAAGAGAATTAAAAAGGCTCTGTTTCCCATCGAGCATTGTGTTGCTGTTCAAGACAGATATCTTGGGGAATAAGAACTCAACCAAATTGCCCACCAGACCATTGACCTGTGATAACTCCAAGAACACATTCCACCATGAAGTCCCTTCTCTTTGCCCTTGCCGCCAGCATGCCTTTTGTGACTGCCAATCCATTTGGTGCCGGCTCATTCTACGAGCGAGGTGTTTGTGCTGCAGATAATTGTGCCAGGTAAGGCCGAAAGATCTTGCCATCATCGAGGCTAACAGTGGTCAGAGCTGTTACGGGCACAGCAGCCCAGCCACCGCTTGCAACCCGTCAAGCAGACTGCTCGGCTTTCTTCAGCCAAGTGCCTACACCAACGGTGCCAGCGTATGCTTCGGCTTGCAGTGGAGCTACCCGTTATAGCAGTGCCTGCTCGTGTCTTGGAATCACCGCGCCCACGTATACTTGTCTCAACTCACCTCAAGCAACCAATATTGTCTCGACATTTGCTTCATTCTTGACTGCGCCCCAAGCCCCAGACTTTGCGTCAAAGGCGAATGCGCTGTTGGCGGATAACTTCACCGACACCAGCGATTCCATCAATTTCCTGGCTGGCTACCCTGTAAGTCCCTTGCAAATGACCTTGACATGAATATGCACTCACAAGCGGGCAGCTCGGTGGCAAAACATTCCCTAGCAAGACTGCGTTCATCGCTGGTCAAGGAGCACAGCGACCTATTCCCACCCTCACTACTCTTGATATCTTCTTCTCCTGCAACAAGATCGCCTGGCGATGGCTTGCACAGGGCATCGGATCCGGTCAATATGAGGTCAAGGGTATTGACACTTTCACAATTACACCATCGGGCCAGATCAGTGAAGCTTTTGCCGAGTTCAACAGCGGAGCCTGGGCAGCAGATCTCGCGCCTTCTCCCTCGCTTTCAGGTTCGTCAACCACATCAACGACGACAACAACAACGACAAGCGCGACGCCGACTACGACCGTGGCCTAAGCGAGGGGGGTTTTTTCTTTATGGACTGCCTTTGTCTCTCAGGGATGAGGCTAGGTGTGAACTAGTTCTTGATCGAGACCTTTTCGGTATTTTGCTTCTTTTCAGGGAGAAGGCGTCATAAAGTAGTAATCTTACACAGATAGCCTTTGTCTGAATTTTCAGCACTGACCTTGAGATTCTTCAATATCGACTTAACATTTCGCTTTGTGGCATTCTTCTCGCTCTGTGTCTTCGGCCTAAGCTTTGGTATGCGTACATCTATTATGCGGACATCTATTATGCGGATCCCGAAAAGAAGTTTCCGAACCTTGAATGTACCCCTGTTACTCGAAAACGAAAAACCTAATTGCCCGGTACGGTTCAATTCCAGAGGGTGAGCGAACGCCACATCAACCTGAGCTTTGGCTGAGCCATTAGCTGAACATCGATGAGAGCTCGCTGAGTACTCCCTGAGCTACACATCTATCGCAACACCTGCCTCTCAACCAAAGTCGTTCCAAAGACTATTCCGCCTACACCGACACCTAAGGCGTACGCCGACCCCACCAAGACGAGCACAATACTCAAGAAGGAACTTAATTGTATATTAATGCGCTGAAGTTACAAAACATGAAGGAACAATGGTCCATTGATTTGTTAGGCAGGCGACACGAAATAGATCACTTAAGATAGGTGCTGGCATGATTCTCCCAAGGACACAACAACGACGCAAGCCCTGTAAAGTCAAGAAAGAGGACAATCAAAAACGTAGTCCTTCTAAGTGTCTTGTTGGTGCCTCCTTGGCCTATGGTACCCCCCCGATGCCCGACTCAAGGATCCCTACCTACGGGAGCCTTGAACGATCATGCTGACCCACTATCGACCCACGACAGTTGTAGCGAGGCTACAGCATATAGATGAGTAGTTTTACAGCAGAGAGACATGATTACTCTGTTACATCAAAAAAGCGCCATCCGATCTCACCAGCAGATGACGCGGCCTCACAGTCGACCCGAAAGCCTCATCTCAATATAGGTAAGAAGCTGCTCGTAAATTGCGAGCAAGACTAAGACATCAGCAAAAAGGGCATCGAAGTCGCACTGTGGGACCAAAAATCAGAGTTTCCGGGCGGTTATTGACTCGTCGGTCGAACGGGAGCTTGGGAAAGATGGCGGGAAAGTGGTTGGGCGGTGCAATATACAGTTGGCGATTCCATGTAGAGAAGGATGGAAAGGTTTGACGCGGCGACAGCACCCGACCCACCGCCGATTGTGGTCGAGTCCTGAGAGGAACAAGGTCCGCTAGAAAGTACCGAGTAGGCTGGGCAAGCTGGGGTCTGAAATAGGGGGTAACCCCGCATTTACCAAGGAGACAAGGGAGACATAAAATCCACCTGAAATGTAATGGCACTGCTCACTTCCCCCCCTCTCTCCCTCTTCAAATTGAATCCTGTCCTTATCCGGCCCTGGTGTCCGGCTTACGCTCATTCATGGTTTCTGGGTACACCAGGGGGTCTGGCCCCCCATACCACTACAAAACTTCTCGTCGCCAGAATCGGAGCTGTGACTACTGCCGACGCTACAAACGAGCTTGTGATGCTGCTCTCCTTCACTGGACGAGCTGTTCAAACTGTCTGAGGCTGGAGAAGACGTGCAGCTTTGAGCGCATAAGCACGCAGAATTTATACACAATAAAAGGGCAGGCACCGCCTAACAGCCGAATCACTATAGCAACGAACAACATCGAGGTCACTAGTGGAAAGGCCAGCACGGGAAGTGGCAGGAGACATGGTGCTCCTTTACGGGCAAAGCCTTATTCTAACCAGGCGGAAAACGTGACAACAACATTGCCAGGCCCTGTTCTGACTTCGTACCTTGATCAGATCAACAATATAAACCGTCCCCAACGTCCACCTTTTCCCGACCACCCCGAGGTTGAATGTTATTCAAACGTCCCTGGACCGAGTACTGTCGACCCATCCGTGCGGAGTTATCCCTGTGAAAACACTTTACCAGTCGGCAGACTGGGCAATTCCACCTACGCTGGACGTTCTAATTTGTTGGACAAGACTGAATCTCTGTTTTCCGCTCTCTACGACGGGGACGGGCTGGAGACGCCGGCTTTCGACTTTGCAGAGGCAATCTTCAACGAGGACGAAAATGTCGGAGGGCGTGAAGCATCGTCACAGGCCGCACCGCGTTTCGCACTACCGGCACATCATCTGGCAGAGAAAACCAATAGGTTGCTCATCTCAACAAGCTTAAAGCACATCTACTCTGACACTCTGGAGAATGCACTGTTGTGCTGGGTGACGGAACAAAGCTGCCCATACAACGATGAAGGTATTTTCTCACGACGATGGCAACAGCCGCGGTTTCATGGAACGAACATTGCCACCAAGAACGGCATGATTCAGCGGGTTCAAAGACTAGATCGCGCATCTTGTGTTCTCGGCGGGCGTAAACTGTCACCTACAGAAAGTCGACTTGCGTCGCATGCTCTGAATGCTGTGATAATGGCATTTGCAGCCCAGTGGTCCCAACTTAGTGGCGCCAATGAGTCAGGGTTATTGGACATACGAACCCTAAGAGCTCGCCAGCAATCCTTCCACGAAGTTGGGAGATTGGTCAACGAGTCATTGTTCGACTTTGCCGAGGCTAAACTAGCCAGTTTCGATCGATCTCTTCAAGTGACACTGTGGAACGAGGCCTCTCGAGCGCTGCAACAAGCCATGGCAATTGATTCGTTTCAGGTTGTATTTGCGCAGGTCATTTTTGGCTTCACACAGCGTCCACTCTCGCCAGAGGACTTTCAACGGGTAAAGAATCATGGAGAAGAAACCACCCACTATCTTGGATTGAATGGTTTTCAAAGGATGGGATCCCTTGGTAGCGCCACGTGGAGTGATGACGAGCATATATGCCAGGCCCAGCCCACCGAAGAATTTGTGTCAGTCGACCAAGTGAACGCGCCCGAGTTTGCTGAGACCCAAGAGTTACTCGACCTGGATAAAGATCCTCTGCACCTGCGTGACTCTCTCATGCGACTAGCTGCGAAACGAGTCAAGCTCAGTACAAAGAGACCGAGGCTTGATACGGCGTGGATGACGGTCCAATCGAACCCTCCCTTTCCAGACGAAGCCTACTCCGAGTTTCTGATAGATCGAATGACTTTCAATCAGTTATTCTGGCTAGTCATGATGTGCGACACGCTCTCCGCAGCCATCAATAACCGGTTACCCATTGTTTCTGATGAAGATTCGGTGATCCTATCCGAGACTGATCGAAAGGCAGGCCAGGCTAAAACCCTAGAGAGCTCGCACACCGGTGCCGTGCCTGTGGTGAGAGTCTCCACCTCAGTGCCAGCAGCCATGCATAGCACGGAGCCGAAGGCGGAAGACAATCCTTGGGGAAAGTACTTTCTTGGGAGAAACACGGCCGCCAACGCGGTAGGATCGGTGCAGTGGCCATTTTCGAAGGAAACAGCGAGTGCACTTCTCTCAGAGGCGGCACCTGTCAAGGCCCTGCTGTACCGGAAAGTCAAGCAAGTGCAGAACGCGCAGTTCCGGCGTGCTTCGCCGGCAGTATTGGAACAGCTAATCCTGGAAGCTCTCAAAGTCTACGAGCACTGGAATTGGAATTATGGACAGTTGTTCACGACCTGCATTCAGCACCATGACGAGCTGCCACTCCAGATCCAGTCATGGTATTCAGTCCTGGCGAGTCACTGGAACTTAGCCTGTTACCTGCTGGTCGACCTCATCGAGGAATTAGACAGATCTGGAGAGACCGATAAGTGCCACTCGGCGATTCGAAAATCGTGTGGCCTTTTATTCCACATCAGGAAACAAAGCGCATTCGAGATGGCCGATCTCGGCCGAGTTGGACGAGTGCGGCAGGACTGCAGCTTCAGCCAGAGCAACGAATTCCATCCCACGGTCAAGGACGGCGCGCTTCTCACAGAGCCCTGGACTGAGATCATGATTCGCTCCTTTGCCAGAATCTCGGAGCAATTTTTGAGATGGCTTGGTGAGATTGACCAGCCATTGAGTGAAGACCATGGCGTTTCAGGCATGTGGCTTCCTGGAGATCGGGATCGGCTTTACTCAAGCCTAGATTATTGCGTCGAAGCTCTACTGGATCTCGGCAGGAAGTCGGATATGGCATTCCTGTTGGCAATCTCCATGAAGCGGAGAATGGTTCGATTCAGCAGGGACGTGACAGGGTGAGAGATGTTTGACGGGCGCGGGACTATTAGAATTCTACCATGAGGCCAAATCTGAAAGCTGGCAGGAGCGACCTTTTTGGCAAGATCCATCTTGATCTCGGAGTCACAGTTGCATTAAGTCCGCCTGTCAATATATATTGTAACAAGGCAAAGTGGCTGCGTTGGGCTGGTATAAGGGTAGCAGGAAGGAGATTTAGCTGGTCACAAGTCAAACCAAAAAGGACGAAGAGTGCAAGACAGTTCATAGCGCTGGCAGAGTGCCATTCATGACAGTTTGAACAGAGTATTCTACGTTTTCGATGTCGTCTACCTATTCCTGAGTGTTTCCATCAGCCCTTTCCCGCTTCTCAATGCCGCCGCCGTGCTAGGCGCTCGTTGCCTTACCTACTGTCTCTCTGGGGATGGTGTTGGTGGTCGTGTTGCACAGTCAGCGCCGACCAGGAACGCGTTCTCGATTCCCAACCCACTTGACCGGCCCCTGTGCGTTATTGCGCGTGCACGCCAAACCCTGAAGTACTCTGTTACAATATGTCGTGATCGAATCACTTGTGCCCCGCCATGCTCCCAGTGATTCCGCGCTCGTTTATATAGATTCCTACAGGCTTCTCAAATTGTCCTCAGGACTCGAGATTCGCGTTGATGGTCGCCTCCATGGTCGCCCAGAGTCCCAGAATCTTGGGATCTCCAAACGGAATGATCTGGGTTGCAATCATCCCTCCCACGCCTCGACTCCGATCGGCCCACCAGAACAGATTCGGTAAGCCGGCCCACCAAGCAGTGCCTTTGCTGTGCAC